TACTATTCTATTAGACTTAAGGAAAAAACATATGGTAAGATGGTTGTGTCATGTAAGTGAGGGACACAGGCGATGGTTATTCAGATAAATAAGAGAAAATTTACATTGAGATGATAATGTGGGTGGTGGCAGTGGCGTAGCGAGGTTGGGTGTCACCCGGTGCGGCACTTAATGGTGTCACCCCCCCAGAGGCGTTGCAACCCTTCCCGGGGACAAACTTTCATGTTTTCGATTTGCACCCCCCCCCCTCAAGTTTTTGATTTGCACCCCCCCCCTCAAACTTTCGATTTGCACCCCCCCTCAAGTTTTTCTCTATATATTTTGCTATTTTTTGCCTTGGTGTCACCCCCGTAAATGGTGTCACCCGGTGCGGTCCGCACCCCCCGCCCCCCCCCCCCCCTCGCTACGCCCCTGGGTGGTGGAATTGTAGAAATTGGTGTCAGATTTGAAGATTATATGGACTGGAGTGGTCAAGGTCGTTTTCTTTAAGCTATCAAACGGAAATAATAAATTTAAAATCAACTACAATCTTTATAATCTAGATCTAACATCATTTATTGAGTATCCATTAAAAGCAAGTGTTAACACGCATAATGGAGCCTGGCATTTGTATTTACGTCTTCCCGTTATTTTCTTATTTGTAAACTTTCAAATAGCCGCGTATTTTTCTAATTGTTTGGAACTCGCCAAAATTATCTGCTTTGACGCCTGACAAACTCAGCACACATTTTGCACCTACAGCAGTCATTTACGTAATAAAGTTGGACAAGAGGATTACGGAGAAAATGTTGATGGTGATTGCTAATTTAAAGACATATCATGGAAAAACTGCAGATAGAAATAGTGATGTAGCAGACTGGGAAAAGAAAATCTATGATAGAGATCGGACAGTTCTTGATGTGAACAATTAATTAAACAAATTGTTTGTGGAGAAAATATACCATTATGATCAAGCAAGTCTAGTCATTGATAAAATACACCTTCATGCTAAAGAACACTTACCTCCGTATATTTCGAATTCACACAATGTCACAAACTTCCCGTATCCGCTATCATAAGTTGCAGTGACTCTTAAAGACTTGACCAAGACTGATGGAGTAGTTACAGCATAAAGTGGTTGGTTAACATTTGATCTATCATGGTGCTCAGCTATCACTTTATTATGGTCGTCCAACATTTCAAGTTTAAACTGCCGAAGTCGAACTAATGGAAATATACTTATTTATTAGGACTGCTTGGCATAATGTCTGGATTGCCATAACTAAGTAAAAAATTATCTAAATTCGTTCCGTAACATTGAGCATAAATTACGTAGCATTGTTTATTTTTAACTAAAAGCAATTTTCTCTTGTGAAATTATAAATAAATTATTATAAATTATAATTGTCTTTAATCATTTCCATCTCCGATTTGTTTTTGCTAAGTATTTATTGTAAGAAAAATTTATAAAGAAAAGTAAATGTGGAAAAAAATAATTTATTAAAACTTAAAGAAAAAGACTAGTTTAAAGACGTGCATATTCTTTGTGAATCAGCCAGTTTAGTTTATTCCTGGTAGATGTACAGTATGGGGAATATAGGTGGAAGAATTTTATTTCGTTTATTTGTTTACACCGTTAATGCTTAACTCTTTACGTTACTTTTATCACTTTCTTCTTGCACCCTTAATGCGACACTTCAGTTATATTTCGTTACAGCTTTTCTATCGACTGGTCTTTGCCCTTTTCGCCACGCTTTACTCACTTCCATACTTTGAACAAAACCTATCAAAGAAGTTTATTTCTTCCTTGCTTTCAGAATGTTGCTGAAATTAGACAAGTGTCATTGAATATCTGCGATGCATGAATAGGTGCAACATTTTGAGGTGTTTTGTCCATGAACTGTAAAACCCGCTGAGCAGTTCCTTGTATTTCAATTTTTTTTCTCCAAAAAAGTAGCAATAAAATAATTACTGCTTGTATTTCAGAATTCTCGTGTGTCGGGGTACCAAGGATAATAACTTTATTAAAAAACGCCTATCTAATTATATTCACTAATCATTTAAGTCTTTAAAATGGTTTGTAAATACCTCCGTTGTCATCCCATCTGTTGTAAAGTACGCATCTGTTAATGTAATATGCCCCAGAAAACGTAATGTTCCAATATGGAGCCCCATTCTTTTCATCTGCTGATGTGTGCGTACAGGAATTGTGTGTAAAGACGCCATCAATGTCACCATCTACAGCCAACGCGGAAACAAATGGTGTTACATTTTCTTGATAAGTTGAAGATTGAGCTGTAGACTGATTATATGCAAGGTTGCGACCTGAGAGACGAATATAAATAACTCCATAATAATGGATTTCATATTGTACTAGCTAGTCGTGTGCGCGTTTTGATTTGTTGTTTTATTTTTATGTTTTGATCATTAAATATTTTATTTTACTGTATAATATTTTAATATTTTGATATTTTTCCCAAGGAAAGTATTACATAATGAAAATATTAGAAGTTGATATTTATAGAGTGGACGTCAAATGTAGTGTCTGCTAAAGTATTAACTGTTGAAGTGAAACAAACATACCAACATCATACCCCCTCCCCCATACCTAAAAACGACGGTGGAGACTAGGTTCAGAAGTAACGTTATTAAAATCGTTAAAACATTTCGCTATTACGATAATGTAAATTAACGGTTTCCGTTACATTCAGCGGTTTCATTTTTCAGTAAGAATAAAATGTTATGTGGTTAAACTAATCTATCAAAAAATGTGTACCATTTTATATATATATATATATATATATATATATATATATATATATATATATATATATATATATATATATATATATATATATATATATATATATTTGTCTACCAAATTTGATAGACAACATATCGTTTTAAAAAGTAAAATCCTAAAATCCTTTGTAAAATAGACATTTCATACAGTTTTATTTTTTTAATTATTTGCATTGATTATTTCCTGTTGTTTATTTTTTTATTTTTTATGATATTCGGACAGAGATTTCAATTTATTTGCCTCATTTATTCAGTTTACAAATAATAACTTAGCATACGGAATAGATCATCCATTTCTACACCGAAAAAAAAATACTTGTAACAATCCGATTCTTATAAAGCGATCACATGTAATGTAATGTAATCATAGAGACCGCACGGTCTAATTACACGACTGTGCCTTATGTTTATGTCCAATTCTCGCAACAAGTGCCCTTGACTTGTTCACTCTACTCTAGAGATAATTGAGAAAAGTAGTTTCAGTGTTAGACAAGACTTAGAGTAGTTAAAGCGTGGTTCGATAAAGCCAAACATTGTATTTTTGCTAGAGGTTATCTTTGCATTTTTTAAAACACGACTTGAACTATCGCTAACAACTTTACGTTTTAGAGCATATTAAATACTTATTTTGCACTTTTTAAGGACACAAAATAATAACCAAAAAATAACACACAAAAAATGATTGATGGGAATTCATATGTACAAGATATACTTTCTTTAGAATAAGCTTTATGGCGGTTGATTCATTATGGACAAATGAAAAATTGCTTCAATACAATCAAATATAATTACTTAGGGAAAATTGCGAAAATCGAGTTGAAGTATTAGAACATTGTGTTTTAGCTGATAAAATAAAAGAATGAAAGAAAAACTCTGTAGTATTGTGAACTGAAAAGTACCACACAATGCACTGTAGAAAAGTCCTCGTGCTTCTTAAAAAGAAAGAATACAAGTATACAATACAATAGCGTACAAGAAATAGAATATATTTATAAGTATATACATATGCTTTCCTATAAATTTTAACTTCGACATTCACACACACAGTCTACAGTTACTAACCTCCACTGATGTAGAGCGAACAAATTGTGATGGGTTTGTTCCATGTCAACTTGAGAGCATTTGTTGTTTGGTTCATATCACACCAGACGTCCGTTGTCCTGTTGTTGACTACGTTGGTGTTTAGTTTGTTGCAGGGGATTGTCCAGTCGGGTGTGTTGTTCTTGAACGTTAGGCTAAAGCTGTCCTTGTTACTGCCTTAAATTAATTATGTTAAAAAATGCAGGAACAATCAATTACCAATTACCAAGTAAATGTTAATATATGTTTTGCTGCTTGTAACGACTTCTATTAGCTTCCAAAAACGCTTTAGAGAAGAAAAGATATAGGCAGAGGCGTAGCGAGGGGGACGGCGGGGGGTGCGGACCGCACCGGGTTACACCATTTAGGAAGGTGACACCAAAGCAAAAAAATAGCAAAATATATAGAGAAAAACTTGAGGGGGGGGGTTGTAAATCGAAAGTTTGAAGGGGGTGTGCAAATCGAAAGTTTGAGGGGGGGGGGGGGGGTGTGCAAATCGAAAATTTGAAAAAAAAATTTCCCCGGGAAGGGTCGCTACGCCTCCGGGGGGTGACACCATTAAGTGCCGCACCGGGTGACACCCGATCTCGCTACGCCACTGGATATAGGCTGAATATTCGTTTAAAAACTATCCTTAGTAACACATTCATTACATAATATTCTTTTTCTTGATTAATTATTCGAAACAGCAGAAAATATAATATTTATAATAACATTAATAATATTAACTGTAAAACGATCACTATGATATATTAAAAACTTATAGTCACCTGCGTCTAGAACAGTAAACCGTAACCATGTAAACAGGTAGGAGTTTTTAAATGTTATATTAATCGAATCCGTTGCACTAACACAAGTGTCGTCTCTGCCATCATACAAGTTTTTATTTACATCCGTTGTGTAGTTGTCGTTTAGGAGATTTTCTGTAAGGAGATATTGTGCGGTTTCGTTTTCTAAATTTACAACATGTTCGTTTCAAAAATCAGTAAATATACTATTTAGCACGGTAGAACCTACTACAAATGTTAAGCCGCTAATAGCATGGCTACAATTACAACTCACGGTACTGGCAGGCAGGACCAAACCACCATGTAGAACACTGACCATCTAGACATGGTGTGTGACCTCCATATTGTCCAGTGACACAGTTACACTTGTAGGTGTTTGAGGTGGTCGACCATGTTAGTACATTGACTAAAATCAAATAAGACGAATTAAACTTTAGTTCTAGTTTTTTCTTCATAAAAATAAACTAGATGCATACATTAAATAAAAAAATAAGTTAAATTTTTGCATTGTTTTGCTCAGCTCTAAACGTACCAGATGAAACATCGAAGACAAAACAGGAAACAGCCAGAAACACAATCCTCATTCTAGTTATCAGTCTATAAAATGGTAGCCTTGTAAAATAAATAAATATATATATATATATATATATATATATATATATATATATATATATATATATATATATATATATATATATATTGGGGAGAAGTGGGACACGGGAAAATTTGGGCAGCGCATCATTTTGGTAGTTTAGGACCAAAATTTCAATGTACACACATAAAATATAAAACTACAATGAAAACGATATCGTTAACGTTTTTCCCGCGTCAGCAATTCCTTAGTTTGCTTTGTGCAGAGAAGTGACTAAAACATTAATTTTTATCTTCATTATCCTGTGGACTGGGTCAACAATTTTAATTACTATTATCCTATAGTTAGAGTAAGTTCTTTATTCAATTTAACATTTTTTAAACATCATTTTTGTATGTTTCATGCTGATTACAATGATGATTATTTTAAATTATGCCACAGACTAGCTTTAGTGGGATAATGTGCCCCATTTCTCAACACAGCCATTTATTATCTCACATTGTCATTTTGTTGAAATAGTTTCATCTTTAAAATCAAGCACTATATTTTATTTTTTAAAAACATCGATCCATTTATTGTTTTACTACATTTTGTATCCTGGGATTAAACGACTATGTCAAACTTTGAAGAGTTGCATTTTTACGTGATTGCTCTAGACAGATACATGGAAAAATATTTTTTTTTTGTTGAGGGGTAAATTCAGTGTCCCGCTTCTCACCTATGCGTGTGCAATAATGGGCTTATGTATAGGTACATTTATATGTACGTGCCTTTGTACATATACGTAGATAAGTCATTTTAAGAGTTAAAATTATCATTTGATATGAAGTTATATGGCTTTGATGTAATAGCTAGTAAACAAAACAAATAGATTAGGAAAAAGAGTTCTTTCGGAGACGATTTGTCAACTATGCAGATAATTTAAAAATGGAGGTAACTCCCTTATTCAATTATGTAATCTCATTAATAGCTTGTAGTGCAGTGTTTCTTCCAGGCGTCTCTTCGGGGGAGGGGGGGGGGTCAAACGAAAAGGAGAAAAATGTCTGGAAACAACACTGGTATAGTGTCACCTAAAACTTAAAAGCAATATCCTATACGTTATTGATTTTAGCAAATCGCTTTTTACCGTTAGGTAAACAGCTTTTAACATATATAAACATAGGTTAGTTTGAAGAAGTGTTCTTGTCCCCCCCCCCCCCCCCTAAGAGAGTATACCTCCCCCCCCCCCCCAAACAAAATGAAATTTATATAGAAAATATATTTTTTAACGGTGTCCGCCCCCCCCCCAAAGAAAGTCTACCGCCCCCCCCCCCCCCCGGAGAAAAAAGTCTGGAAGAAACACTGTTTACAATACACGCCAACATTTTCGTTTCACATGATTATTCCATAATCTAAAAAGTCTGTGCTAGAGATTTCTCTTTGGTAAACAATTGGTTGCTTCGTTCTGCTTAGTGACTCAGGCCTTTTACTTCCTGGTTTTAAATATAGTCTTAGATTCAATATAGGCCTAACTGCGGATAACAGTCTCTCACATTGATGTAATATGAGACTGCAGGTGACTTTGTTTACACTTTTAATTTTGTTTCGCATTGATGCATTATTTAGTAGGTTCATGAAACATATTCTGGTATTTAAAAATTAATTTTAAAACAAATTATAAGCAGTTTAAAATTTAGATAATCCGAGGTTTAAGCCAACGCCCATATATAGTAAACCTGAACAGCCGACACCAGTCTTAAACCTATTTATTTCACTTGATATAGAAAAACAAATAAAAAAATTAATAAATATATAAACACTTCAAATCAGAGATAAAAAAAGCAACAAATACAATAAAGCTTTCTTTCATTATCATAAGTTGTAATCGCAAAAGCATGTTTATCGTTTACTAAACAAAATGAAATTATTTATGGAATTTAAAATTTTGTAAAGGAAAAGATGTTTATATTATTTTTTGTTCTACGGTTTAGTAATTGGTAACTTTTTAAAATAAATAAGCAATTAATATTTACAGCTTTACAAAATAATAGAATACTATTATTATTTTCCTAGGCTACAAACACTCGAACTGTTTCATATGTTATAATAAAAGTCAAATCCAAATGGATTTCTTTTTTTTGTATTGCATATGAAGATTTCTTAACGCCGAGTATTTCAGCTTGTGATAAACCTTAACATACAAAGATTTTATTTAAATACGCACTTCATTTTAAGTACCTAATATATCCTTTAGACTTAAATTTTTAGATTACCTTAATTATCGTTGATTGATTATTAGAAATACAAATTATTATAATTAGAGCTATGGTCTATTAAATACGGAAGTAAACAAAACTTACCGCATACGCATTAATATCCGTAATAGAACTAAAAAACCAAACCCTCTATCCGGCGAATATGATGTCTGCCGTACTTCGTCCCAGAATTTTACACATTGTATTCAAACAAGCACGTTCCTCCTGTTTTCGTATTGCGACATAAAGTAAGCTTTGATATTTTTACCGCCCTTCCTTCCACCACCAGTCACATACCTCAAGATTTAAATAACATAAACTACCGAATGTCGTGTTTAGTTGCAATAGACATTTATTATCTTTGTTTTCGTCAAAGAATACTCCGTTTAAATAGCTGTGTTACATGGAACACTGTCTCATGATGGTCACTCGCAGAGATTTAGTGCGTTTAGAGGCTGACTCAGAGAGACAACCCAAACACACACAAGGACCACACTTAATTTGACGCAGCCAAGAGTGGTCATGCGTAATATGCGTTGATGTAACCGTGGCCTTAATGTAGAGGATTTGGTGAACAAGGATGTAAAAGAGCTGTAAATAGAGCGGGAATGATCTCCCCTATACTTTCTCGAAGATCCTTATATAACACTACCGGGTATGGCAACTCGTGATACAGACATGATTTTAATACATTTTTAATTACTTAAACTTTTTAGAAATCGGCAATAGCATAAAGTTCAATTTCCGGTCACCGGAAATTACTCAAAATTAAAACAAAAGCAGATAATAAATATTTCACTTTCATCTGAAATTTCATTTATCTATCTGAAATAATTTTCAAGTTGTAGACTTTTGAAAAATCGAAAGTTGAATAAGTTAGTATCCGATAACCGGAAATCGCTAAAAAGTTTATACACAACTACCAATTTGATAAAATGCTATAATACGAAGTAATTCATTTAAAAAAAAAACGTGGGCAAGTGTATGTGGCCGACGCGCTTGTTGGAAAATCTTCTAATTTAGTGACTATCAATAAATGACATCTAACTTTATTTAAACTCCCCTCTCCCTCTCGTCAGCCATCGTCACAAAATTGCGAATCCCCCTCCACTCAATGGCGACCTCTTTTTCGTGTACACACTTGATGGGAAAACAGGAAATATGTATCCACTGGCAGTCGAATAAATAAATAAAATAAAGTAACGCTTTGACTTGTTAACCTTGTATAATAGTTGTTGATAAAATTTACAAAATATAATACAACAATATTTGACAATGTATTTTGTGCGGCTAGCCCACTTTACAAAGTAACAATGCTTAACATGAAAGTAGGCCTTCATACCAGTAGGCCTTTTTAAAAAATAAAATAAGTACACTGAAAACAGTCAGTGTCTGTCGGACTGTTGGAGAAAGAGAACTCGACCTTTATCGCGCTTAATAATATTTTTTTTTAAAATATATAAATACATTTTTATAATTACATTTAGTGACCAAATTGATCAAACTAACCGTAGACTATTATATATATATATATATATATATATATATATATATATATATATATATATATATATATATATATATATATATATATATATATATATATATTAACAAAAGAAATATCAAGTTTAAAAAATCTCGAAAATAATATTTTTAATTATTTTTTGTATTTTATTTATGGTCGTCAGGCTGCAACTTAGGTCCCTCACTGCACATGTAAAATATGTATCCCTCGTCGACTGCTTTATGTTATAAAATATCTCAAACACTATACAGTATAAAAATGTATTCAGAAATGTAACAGATTCACGCATTTGTCTTACGATTCTTTTAACTATATGAATATTTTTAGATTTGCGTATAAAACCATGTCGTGTTTTGTCGTGTCACTGAACGTGACACGCGGGTTTTTTGTATCTATAATCCTTGGCTCGAGTGAATGGCTGCGTTGTATACCCGAGGCAGAAAAGTCTATAGGCCTACCTCAGATACCACTGGAAGCTTGAACCTTTTCTATTTGAACTTCTGACAACTGTAGTGTAGAACTGAAGGGTGGGTTATGGTACAATTTATAGCCCGGATGTATAACATGTATCACGAGTGCCCTAATAGCTAATGTTGCACGACACAATTTATACTCTAGGATTTGATAAAGTTTATATTTTTAGGGTGATTAGAAGTGTGTGTGGTGGTAGTGAGGGGGGGGGGTCCGGATACACTTGGAACCTCAAAGATCTGGCAATAATTAAAAAAATATCTCCAAAGATAAAGCCTGAATGTATATATTTTTGTATAGAATTATCTGTTAAATTAGCCACACAATAATTTACAGTTGTGTCAATTAACTAACAAAATGAGGGTTAAAGAAAATCTACAAAGAAAAGCAGGTTTAAAACGGCGTCAACGGGCCTTATGGCGCATAACATGTTGACATCAAATATTTAAATATGTCGAATGAAATCCTGTGAAATCTCACCCAAAACGTCAACCAGTACTATTGATTAATTCCTGGTCATTAGATTATCATGAGAAGTTGGTAATAGTCCGTCCACTGATACTGACTGAGACGACTTGGTCAGCCATGATACATTCAGTGTAGATATTGAAAAGGATGACTGAGACAAACACACAAAGGTGAGACTAAGAATACAAAGATTTTCCTACTCAGGAATGTTTCCATTTCAATTTTACTTCCTCAATTCACCTTATACAAGGAAATAAACTGAAAAACAGTATATTTTATAGTTAAGAATTTAAATTTATTTTTAAAATAATTAAATAGATATTATAAATATCATTTCCAAAAAGAATGTATAGTAATCAAACATTTACATAAACATTTACATTTTAGTTAATTTAAACCACAGTTAAAGTTTACTTTTTTATTATATGTTTAATTTATGATAATCAGATTTCTCAACATCTTGTAAATTAATCACATCGTAAGTATGAACATTCTGGTTTGTGTATGGGCTTGAGCTAACTTGTAAATCAATCTCCTCAGTTTCAATTGCCTCGGTATAAATCTTGTGTTGCTCTGAAAAATAAATAGGGGCGGGTAGTAATTACATTTTGTTTCTATAATAATTTCTCGTTTGTTAATGTTATTCACATTGTGTCTTTTTTCTTTCATTTGTATTTAAAAAAGCACACATACTATTCTAAAATAAATTTAGTTATTACGAAGCACATTCTTACACATCTTAATATGTTATTACGATAACTACCAACATTATGTGCGTCAGTTACCTGACTCGAGTTTGATACCGGGAATATTTTCAGGCTTTTCCTTTTTTATTTTCTGATTCCTTCCAAGAGATAATATCCTCATACGATGTAGAAGTACTGCGGCAATGATAAACAGAAGGGAAGTTACTACAACACCGATGGCCACACCGATACCAATGCCTATAGACGTTCCGTCAGACTGTTCTTTCTCTAGGTGAAATATAAATGAACATTTCGATGAGCTAAGTTTGTTTGACATTAACTATATATATGGCATTTTAACACAATGGGAAGGCGTAGTGGAACGATTAGCAACACAATAAGAAAGTCTCGAGTTCTGTCTCTAGTTCGAAGATGTCCCTGAGTCAACTCAGCTTTAATGGGTACATGATGATGCCGATGTCACAGAAACAGGTAAACACTACTGTAACTGCCACATGCTCGTCACATTCGAAAGAAGGGTATTTTATAGAGTCCTTTCATATGACGTCACGTCCGTTCGTGATACCTACGCCCGCCGCCACAGTGGTGTACACAAGACGTAAACACAATCAGCTGTTCGCCAGCGCTGGACGTGTTCACCAGCGCTGGACGCGTTCACCGTATGTAAAGAACCGCACCCGCGGAAAAGGAAAAATACGTTAAAAAACTTGAACTCTTAGGAATTGAAGATCCTTATACTGTTATTGACAGTTTCGTATAAATAAATATGTGGACAAAATTTCTAAATAAAAATACTGTTAGTAATACTGCTTGCGTTTAGAGTTAAAGTAGCCGAATCTGATCAAATGTAGTTCTCGATACTTTGTTTCATGTAAGGACAGTAAAATAATAAACTTCATTTTAATTATAAAAGATAACTATTAATAAAACAAATATGCTCGACCTTCACAAATACTAATAGTAAAAGACAAAGTCAAAAGTAATAGGCTAATAAGAATAATAAGATCTAATAGTAGGCCTAATACCTGGCTCCGCTGGGTAGACATAGAATCTAGAATCTACTTCTTTACTTAAATTTAATTACTTTAGATCTACATTCGATTCAAAATACACCCATAATAAATCAAAAGTAGTCATAATAGGCCTAATAAAGCATTTAATTGTCTCTAAGATCTAAAATCTCGCTCTATTATCTAATCATTTTTTTAGCAAACGAAATTTTCTGAAATTGAAATAGATTATATGACTAGACTTAGATCTAGAATCTGCTACTTAAATTAAATTGTAAAAACTTTATACAAGCATGTAGTTGATATTATTGTAGTAGAAGGCTTTAATAAATTACTAAGGCCTACCTACTTTGTTGTCTTTTTACAGCAATATGTATCTGATACTGGACTGAGTTTAATTAAATTCAAATTCATATCTAGTAATTGGTCTACTAAGTTTTGTAGCCTAGTAGTACAATCTAGATCATACCAGCCAACAACAAATAACCACATTATTATTATTTGGTTAATGATTAGGCTAAATTTTTTTTTTAAATCCACTGTTTATAAAAGAAACAAATCAAGCTAGAAACATTATAAGTGAGATGGTTTAGAATAATAACAATGGACCCAGTCTACAATTGATACAATTGCAGGTCTACATAGGGCCTACAGTCTAGTAGTTTACAGTAGGCACCTAGTGTGTAGCTAGTATACTAGTGTGTAGCTGTCCAGAGTTAAGATTCTTAATGCCTTAATGCTTTCCCCTGATAAGCCGTGTGTGCTATAAATGACATAACATGACACCGAGGTGAGAAGTGTTGAGGGGAGAGCAGTGGGACTTTCCCCTTTGTTCTCCCTGCTGGGCCCTGAGGGTCAAAATTATATCAGAAATACTATCTCTGTGGGGCTGGGTATCACGGAGGTGAGACATTTTCAGGGGAGGGCAGGGCAGACTCTCTTTGGTTTTATTGTGGGCTAGATACAGGTGGGGGCAGCCATCATGAGGGTTGAACGTCAGTATTAATGTGTCTGATTACTTCCCTGCTGGATTATAAGGGTCTTAAATTGTATAACATGCTACCCAGATTGGTTATTACCCATGGATTATATTAGCCGTTGTAGTGTGGGTTTTGTAGGAGTTAAGTGGTCTCACGTTTGCTACAGTAGATAACCTCTAATATATTACTGCATTTGATCAGCTTCGTCTACTTAAACTCTAAACGCAAATGGTATTACTAACAGTATTTTTATTTAGAAATTTCGGCCACATATTTATATTATCCACGAAACTGTCAATAACTGTATAAGGATCTTCAATTCCTAAGAGTTCAAGTTTTTTAACATATTTTTCCTTTTCCGCGGGCGCGATTCTTTACATACGGTGAACACGTCCAGCGCTGGCGAACAGCTGCTTGTGTTTACGTCTGATGTACACCACTGTGGCGGCGGGCGTAGGTATCACGTGATTTAGGTCACGTGTTTGCAAGGACTCTATAGCAATCCATGAAGCAATTAAAATATATATTAAATGAAAGTATGAAACAATTCAACTCATAGCCTATTTCCTTATCCTTGTGTAGAATAAACAATCATGTCAATTTTTCTTACCACTTTGACAAAATTTTCCTGTTAAACCCGGACAACATTGTTCACATTGACCACTGACGCTGTCACATTTTGATTGGAAACAATTGATGGAGCAATTCAATTTACAAAGAATTCCATAATGATAGGGATCACATGCTGACGAAGATATAATCAGCAATACAATTTTTTTCACATGTAAAATATAATTATTATGTAAACGGTTTTCTGAACAATTATAAATTATATTGTTTTACATCACCGAATATCATTTAGTTAAATTCTTAATCTGCCTTATGGAAGGCAACCGACAATCTCTATGACCAAAACAAAATACTTACGCTGATCACAAAAATCCCCCTCACTGCCATCATCACAATACAAACAATGACCATTGACAGGATGACATAGGCTGTTGGTACAGTTGGGACTACATTTTTGTGAGCAATTGCTGCCGTAATACGTCTCATGGCAAGCTGAGTAACAGAGAACATGTCAGAAATTTAGAAATAATTCGTTACAAAATGAATTTTCAGCTATATTTAGAATCTTTAATCAGATTAAAATGTAATAATTATTAGCTGTTTAATAATCTGTTACTGTATGAGTCTATAAAAGAGTTTAATTCGCCTTACCCAGTGTACAAGCCGGCGGCTGATGAGCGTCTTTACATCCTTTATCACAGTCTCCATTAAACCTGTTACAGGTGTTGTCTATACAACGATCTTTACAGTTTTGGTTACAGCTGATGCCCCAGGTGTGGGGCCCACAGGCTGGAAAACAAGGATACTATTTTATGACATTTGTTAATCAGTAGATGACACGTTAAGTCTGTAAAATGAAGACCGTTTATTCATGTTTACAACACAATTTGGCGGGAAGGCTAAATAAATGCTCTAAAATTATAAAAATGATAAAATTCTGATACTTCCTTTGTAATTTGATACACCTTTCAAAATGTATATCTTGTTCAATATATATATATATATATATATATATATATATATATATATATATATATATATATATATATATCATGTAACTTTCATATGTTAATAAATATATATTTTATCTATGTTCTAATTACCCTTTTGACAAGCCTCCCCATAGTATCCAGCCTTACAGCCAGAAGGACAACCTCCAGTAGCAACAAAACAAGCCTCGTCTGTAGCACAGTTACAAGTCTTCTCACATTCTAGGCCAAACTTGCCGGGATCACACTTAGAATCTGAACAGTCGATTACATTTTGTTATTTAATGGACTGAAAACAAAATATTAATAGAAAAAAAAAAATATATCAAGATACTATTTTATAACACTAAAGATAACAGAATACAAGGCAAAAAATGTAAGAAGATACAGATTGTGGTGATTAAAGTTATGTAGTATATTAGGAGTGGATTTGTATCCCCTAAAACTAAACGTAATAAATAATGTAAAACCCACTAACATGCGTGTGTTTTTAAGGACTACTGTTCCTATAATCACTATCATCGTTATCTAATATTTTTTTTATTAATTAGAAGCAATTGTCAACAAATAACAATTGAAATTGACACCTTCGTTGGCGTTTTCAATTTGTTTATTTATTAGCCGTTATCGACTAGGTTTGCTCCAGTCATTTATAGCCATGTCTAAATTTAAGTAAATAATTACTGAAACATGTGTGTGTGTGTGTAAAATAAAAATAAACAGCATTACACAAAGCTACAGTCAAAGCAGCAAACACGTACACCTTTATTGGATTAAAAAATGTCACTTATACATCACCTGTCATTATTACGTGGTTCGTTAAATGAATATAATAAAAATTAGATTCAGGGACACAACTACAATACCGCCAGATCCCGAAATGCGGGTGTAGACGGGGAGGGTTCATGTTCTTTAGGGGACCTTAAATCTGACCAAAAAAACTACACTTTTACTTGCACCTTAATAGTGGTTGTGTAAAAAAAGATTTACTACAATAGTAATAGACTGGAAAAGTGGTTCCAAAAGTGGTTCCACTTTGTGTTGCCAGAAAGCATATTTTTGAACCAAAATTGAATATTTTAAAATATTTGTGAAATAAGTACAAAGTCACTTCCGGTTTTACTAAAGCTAAAAATGTTTAAACACAAAATTACTAATAATATAATAGTAATTTACAAAACATTTTAATTTTTATTTGGATTAGTATAGTCAGGGTGTTGTGGTGAAAGGGGATGTTATATTATTTAATATAAATAAACTGCTAGGCTATATTCCATTGTAATAATAAGTAAAGCGTAATTAATATCAACAGTTTAATATAGGCCTAATCAATCTAGATCGACCTCTGACTATGGGGTCATCTATTAACGATGTCACAACTCACAACGATGCCAGACACCCCCCTTCCCCAAAAAAGTAAACCTAAGCCGCCCCCCCCCCCCCCCCCCGCTATTGCAGCGATTTTCATAAAATATTTAGACCTATGGGCTTTTCCAACATTCAATGTAGGCCTATTGATTAATTATTTTATAACAATTTATAAAACAACTTTTAATAATGCAAATAAAGGCTTAGATTCAGTTTCTTAACATGAGTGTTTGTTGAACATTGAAAAGTGTCATCTTACTTTCTGAACCCCCTCCCGCCCTTGACACAAAGGTCCAAATCTCCCCCACCACCTCAAAGTCTGATGGGCGACCACTACAGCATTTTGCTACTATTTATAGGATATTCATTAATTAGTCATACAAACCCAATTACATTTGTTGCTGTGATGGTATCTCTGTCATTACAATTATTAAATAGTTTATCTAACTCAATATTTCCCCTAACCTCATTTGCTATAGCTGCCTATCCTTAAAGAAAACATCTTTTCCTCAAATATCTGGAATGCATCTGATCAGCAAGTCTTTTTCTTTTGTAATATATAACATGTTCATAAACTTGCACGGCCAATAACAACACATTACCAGGAAACAAGCAGTGATTATAGTTTGCTGTATTTGTGGTTGATGGTTAGTTATCAGCCATGCTTCACTAAGCCTGGTCTACATTTATATGCTGGTATGGCTAGAATTGACAAAAACCCATATTCTTGATTCTTCCCTTATCATTAAGTTTTACATCTATGATATATATATATATGCAAATGTAAGGCTTAGAGTGGGACTACATATTTGTGAACACATTTGCTAAAGCAAAAGTTCTTGAGTTGAAATTTTAATCCTTTAGGTTGTCTCTGATTCAAATTCAAAGCAGCTTTAACCTTAACTGGTACCTGACTGGTTATAGACAGTAAAACTTAGTAAAAGCTGTTTGACATTTTGCTGACCATAAAATTTATTAATATGGAGAGGCAACAAAACTAGGTGAAATCTACTTCAGCCCCATATTCTTAAAAACTATTTATAGTTCACCAGTTTAAGTTATTTGTTGAATTAAGGTAGCAATAATTAGTTTCCGCTTACACCAGCACACACAACCAGTGCTGAAAAAAAAATAAACATAACAAAGTTTATGATTTTCTTTTTTTAATTACCATATTCATTCAGAACTAACATAATAAAAAATAGTTGTTCAATATGAACAAGTTTTCTTGGGTCCAACATGTATCCTTGGATCAGTTTTTAAATTGAGCTTCATCTTGACTATTGTCGTCTCTGTTTGCAGTTGTATAATCCACAGTATCTAAAAAAAACATAAATAAATTTCATAAACTGTTATATTAAACTCATTATGTTTACATACTTTCAACTCTTAATGTTATAAATAAAAATATTTGTCCGTCTTATAAAGATCATAAAGCAATGATGTGTATTTATGTATTGGATTGTATGGGCTATCTAACCATTACCATTCATTAAAAATATAGGTCTAATAGTTTACTTTTAATATTTTAATGTAAGGAGTTTGTCATTAAATACAATAGGCCTTCAAAAGAGTCCAAAAGTCATGTATATATCATTTAAAAAAAAAAGAAAAAGGTATCAATAAAGATATACTACTTATGTTTAGCCACCTCAGGAATTAGTTGAAAATTGATATTCAAACTAGGCTACTATAACTATCATTAATTCATGCACATACTAAAATAAATATTAGGATAATTAAATTAATTTGATTAGTAAGTTAATACATCTATGACAAGTGACACCTTTTGGCTTTATCAACTATTCTGCATTTTAAGTTCTAAAGATCACTACATAAAACTACGAGTAGACTAAGTCATATATTAAGTTAATTAAGTAGAACTAAAATAAGACAGCTATTTACTAGTAAGCCTACTCTTCTATTCAGTAATTTTTACTATTATTATTAGAGGCCTAAAGTTACTGTTAGATTACTAATCTAGATTGAACTTAAATTTTGGATATTATTTAATGTACTAGTCTGTAACCTTTTATTTAGGCTACATGTAATTTTTACAGTCTAAAATTGTAGCCTTATTAAGCCTAGTTAACTTTGTTTAACTTACATACTAATACTAAATACCTACCCTATCACAGGCCTACTAGAGTAATACTAAGCTACTAGATCTAGATCTACATGTAAATCTACAGTCTAGATAGGCCTACTGAAACTAAAAGTAATATGACAACTGTAAAAATTAAGCATACTTTATTTTTTTTACAATACTATTTTAAGCCTATAGACCTACTACTATTAAATATGAATCTATTATTAGTTATTAGACTAACATAAGTCATCATAAGTCTAATTAGTAATTACCTTTAACTAGGTCCTAATCATAATAACAATGTAATTGAAGTATTAGGACTGTCGTCTGTACCATAGCCTAAATTATCTTAAATAAAATGTATTTTGTACAGATCTAGTAATTTAGTAAGTATTAACTATTAAAATTAAATTAATATAGAAATTATTGGCCTACTAAATAATTGATTCACTAATGTCATGATTTTGCAATTATGAGGTTGTGTGTATTATAATATACCTAGATCTAGTAACTGTATAGAGTAACTATACTTACTAATACTACTACTATAGTAAATATATTTTAACAAGTAGGCTTTAACTTATTAGATTAGACTAATCATTTATTAGACTAGGACTAGGTGTATGTGTAGTGCCCTAATAATTACCAAGGACTAAGATTAACTATTTAATATATGACTAGTCTCTAAAACTAGTCTATACCACTAATACCAGCTACACATTTATATAATATAATTTATAAACTATGGGCCTAATTTATTTAACTTATCTATCTATTAACTTAAAATACTTGAATTATTTAATATAGATTTTTATAAAATATATAGTCTAACTTCTAGATCTAGCCTAGAGTAGATCTCTACTCTAGACTTATACTTAATAGATCTACTGACGTACAATATAAAGTTACTTAACTAACTTACTATAAGATCTATAGTAAAGATCTAATCTAGTTAGGGTAAAATCTTAGTTTAGCGTCGTAAATTCGGCCAAATCTAGTAATGTAGGAGAGAGTGCATTAATGAATATGTCATTAAATATGAGTATATTTTCGTATATTTTGATAAAATATTATAAATAATTGAATAATAGATCACCATTTATGGTTAAATCAATTTAAATATCCTGAAATTAATTTTTATCAACCCTGTTCGAGATAGTAAATTTGCTATTAAAAACAGCAGCCATCTTAAGAAAATGTTATTTAGAGTAGCTTCCCTTTCATTTCTATTCGTATGAAAATGTATTTAATATGATTGTCTTGTTGTATAGTACGTATTACAAAGCATTTTTTTTTTAAATTCTGCTCTTTAAAAATTGAATTTCCTAACAAACAACTTTATTAATTCTAGAAGCATTGTGAGATGCAACTTGTATCCATGTTTTAAATCACGTTTTTTTTTACTAATGTTTATTTGATCTTACTATTACTATATAGTTTGAGATTTTTCTTATTGTTTGAATGTTCACTATTTTCATTTCAGGTTTTTCTTTTCATCAATTAGTGATTCTATCGTAACTTATGACATTTTTTTACTTCTCTTTACCTTAATTAAACCCCAACCTCCGTCATATTTTTGTTGTCAATGTCACAACAAGTCATAAGGGGTCATCCATAAATGACGTCACACTCGTAGGGGGGAGGGGGGGGGGGTCCGTAATTTTGTGACGATGTGTGATGAGGGGGAGGGGGGGGGGGCTCAGATGTTGCGACGTCACATTTTTGCATTATAAAAAAGCAATGTTAGAAAACGAATTTTAGACGTTATTTCGCGTTTTAAATAACTGTTTTAATAAATTGTATAATGTAATAGTTTAGACAAGATTTTGGAAAAATATCGATGTTTAAAAAAAATTCAACTGCAATTTTGAGGGGGGATGTAGGTTGAGGTGTGACGTCATTTTAGGGGGGGGGGTCTGGCTTTTTGTGACGACGTGTGACGGAGGGAAGGGGGGGGAGGTAAAAATAGTCAAAAAAAGCGTGACGTCATTTAAGGATGACCCCTAATGTAAAAAATTACGCTTCGCTCTGCCTTATCTAAGATCTCTAGCCATAATTTTGACAACAATAAATGTTTGTCATCATTTATATATACAGAGAGACAAAATGTATTATCCACCAGCTTCCCTCGTAAAACATCATCTAAAATAATAAGCCACTCCACCCCTTAAGAGCGTGTTGTCATTATGGTCGATCGCAAGTCTCAACCTGCCAGACACACTTTGGTTATCCTTTGTTGTCAAAATGTCAATATCAAGTACCCAAGTGAGTGATATGGGGTTGTCCATAAATGATGTCACATATGATTTGCTACGGGAGTGAGTGAAGATTTGTGACGTCAACTAAGA